ACATTAGCCAAACTTGAGCATCTACTTACCATCACATCCGATGCTGCCGGTTTCGTTGAGCAGTCTGCTGCAGTGGTAGTTCTCCTCGATGATCACAGTTTGGAAGACCTTCAAGTAGCTAGTCGACACGTGAGTGATAGTTAGGGTGAAACAAACGAGTAAATGTTGCCAGAAAAGCATGTTCAAGCTGTGAGTTTCGAAAGCAAACAAAATCATCATCATCAGTTTATTGAAAATGACTTGTGTAAAAAAAGTTCATTTTCTGAAAAATTAGAAAGCGTCACACTTTTCGTAAAATACAAAATAATTTGAAAAATATTTTAAATTAAATTATTGGTTTATGCTAGATAGTTTGGGAAATGGATTCTGCTTTGAGATGACGAGCTTTTGATGCTGTAGTGAAATGTATCCTTTTAGTTTGTTTTCGGCTATAAGATTTGCCAGTAAACAGTGAACTTCCTCGCAAGTGACCTTGTCCTCTTCTGCAAGCTCAATTTGACCACGATTTGACTGAAAGTAGTTGATCGCTTTTACAAAGTGATTCATTGATATTTGATGCGTATTCACAATTTTTGCTACTTTTTTGAAGATATTCCGATAAACGAGTGCTTTCAACTTTTCGAGCGTAAAGTAGATTCCATAACAGTAGAAAAAATCAGAATGCTTTTCAATGGCCTGGTCAAATGAGTACAAGTTGCCATCTTTGATTGCTTCACAGAGGTCTTCAAATTGCTCTAGTTGATATTCTGCTAGAAGCTGCTTGGTGGGCATGCATCCGGAAAAGAGCATCTTTACTGGAATGAGAAAAATGAGGATAATGCGCCTGTTCTTCAGGTACTCCTTGTGACAGTTGTCAAAGGCAAATGTCAGCTGATTATCTGCCTTTAGGTAATCTGAATCATAGAGCGACTTCAGGCCGGTAAAGTAGGAGTAGGTAACCCGTTCGGCCAGACTAAACTGATCCATGATGTTGGCATTCTCAAGCGCTCGCACTAGCGGCTTGTAGAGGTTGAGTTTGTTGATGCGAAAGTAAATCTTAAACAGCTGATTGATGATGTTCATCATTGCCTTTCGCTTGGAAATCTCAATCGCCGTCCGCGAGTCAGTGGCACAGACGCGGAAAACGTTCATCAGCTGTGAGGCGGCCTCTTCAACGTTGGCGTTTGGCTTTATCGCCTTGTTGCTCTGGTGAGAGGTGTGTCCCCGGGTGTCGGCGCAGATGGCGAGCTTCCTCAGCTCAGTGGAGGTCACGTAGACGATGGGCAACATCCAGTTCTCCTCTTTGATCTGCGTCAGCACCTTCACCAGTGCCGGCACCATAGAGCATTTGTGCCCGAAGGCACCCGAGTAGTCTTCGCTGTTGTACAGCAGCGCCTGGTACGCCAGGAGGTGCCCTCGAACCAGCTCATCCCACGGTGAATCGAGCACTTTGTTGACGGCATTTTCCCACTGGTTGCCGTTGCCGATGGCATGCTGCAAATCTCGTCCCGGCTCGAATCGCTCAAGTGACAACAAATCGGCCAAAGAGTCGCCGTCCGCCGAGTTGATCCGGTTCTTGACCTCGTAGATGTACGAATTTACGCTGCCACCGCCGCCTCCACGAGATCCGAAATGATTCATGCTGATAATAAAAGTGACAAAGATCTTAAATTACCACCTTTTTGCGATTTGAATTCACAAAATCACAAATGCAGCGCGATTGTGTTTACCTGTCTTCTATTTCGACAGTTTATGCCAAAAATGCAACCAAAACGGCCGGGCAAATGTCAAAATAGTAGAAAGTTTTAAAAATTTGAAAACACAAAATTGAGCGATGTTCATTTATGATTTCAGGTATTGCCGTTTTGTTAAAGATAAAATACAGATAGATTATTGCAAATAATAAAAAAGTATAAAACGTGTAAACCAAGTAGGAAACGTCTCTAGGAATAAAATTATATCACATTGTGTAGAGAAAAATGACAGTTGATATATTTAGTTTAGGTTAGATGTGCAGTAGATAGACTTTGATTTTGGTGTTCTAAAAGGCACTGCCTCTGCTAGACTATTCTTTCTGACCAGAATTAAGTTGCTGCGGTGTCTTCGGGTTGTCCTCTTGGCTCTTCAGTATCATACGGTAGACAAAGACTGATAGGACCTTGTCGATGCCGTCCATTGTCGATCGCTGAATCCACTTGGGAATGGTCGTTCGGGCCTGGTCAGAGAAGGTCAATCAAAATTACTAAACAGCCCTAGAGTAATGCGGCAAATAGGAGTATTACCTGACTGAAACCGAGGCGTTGAAGAATGTAGTCCACACCGTACGGGTCAATGTTTTTGCTCGCCCAGCTGTGGAGTCGCACCGTAGGCTCAAGGTGCCAGACCTAAAAGGGCAAAAACAGTTGATAACAATGGCACCAAAACCACTACCATTACAAGTAAGAAACAAACCTTGCAGATAAACTCGCGGAAATCCTTGCTCAGATCGTCTTCACTCTTCTTCTTCTCCGTCAGCGCCAACGCTTTGCCGTCCTTTCCTGAGCCCTGCAGCTGATCACCGTCGCCTTTGCCCTTATCAGCATTCTTTGCCGACTTCTTTCCGCCAGCACTGCCAGCACCACCGGCAGCAGTTCCAACTCCACCGCCACTACCACTTCCGCCACCGTCCTCCCGGTCATCATCCCTGGCGGCGGAAGCGCTGGTGCTGCCAAGAGTGCTGCTAGACTCGTTAATGTACGAGTGAATGAGATCGTGCAGGAAGAAGTACGCCTCTGCGTCCACCGCCACGTAGATGTGATCGTCAAAGTCGGAGACAAAGGAGCAGAGGACTTTGGGCTTCGGTTCGGTCATCAGCGGCTCCGACGGCCCCTGCAGGTGCTCCGTCTTCAGCTCGAGTTGCATGCTGGGAAAGGCGAAGATCATCTCCTCCTTGTAGTGGAACTCGCTGGCCGACTTGGTGCGCCGGTCTGCCGCCGCCTGGCTGTTACGCAGCTGCGAGGGCGTCGAGGTGAGCGACTCGATGGGCACTCCGTACGCGTCAAACTCGACATTCTCCGGCGAGGGCAGAGGAAAGCGGCCCACCTCGTCGATCTCCACAGGGGAGAAGGCGTAGTGGAACCACTCGTGCAGGTGGCGAAACTGCGGCGGAAAGACCACCGCTCGGGAGATCTTACAGACGGTGGCCATCGTTCGGTTGGCCATCTCGGCGGAAGCCGTAGCGTGCCCTCCGTTGACGCCGCCACCGCCGCCGCCGTGCTCCGGCCCTCCGTGGCTCGCCCGATGACGGCCCAGCTTTAGAGAGAGGTTCTGCACGACGTGAGTGCTAAACTCGGCAGTGGCCGCCTTCAGCATCTCATTCTCCGCCTCTTCTCCCTCTTCCTTCTTCTTTTCCTCATCACTGGACTGAGCCGCCTTGACGTGCTGCGCCTCCGTCATGTAGGTAATGGAGGGCTGCTTCAGACTGAACACCGCCCAGGACTTGGAGCGAAAGTTGACGCCGTAGAAGCAGGCGAGGGAGATGTTCTGCGCGCAGATCTCAATGGTGCCGCCGAGGATGATGCCGTGCTGCTGCTGCTGCATCTGTGAGGCAGAGGTCATCAGCAGACTGGGTGGATCGGTGAGGGAGTGGTGGTAGATGCCGGTGACAAACTGCAGTGCTCGCTGCCAGTGTCGGTGATGGGAGATGACCGCCTGTTCAGGCTGCTCGAGCACCGTCTCCACCACTGTTCTACCGCCTGAACTTCCTCCAGCAGAAGCTGCAGCATTACTTGAAGAGGCGGCGGCACCAGTAGCCCCACCAGCATCACTCTGCTGTGCTGATGCGGATCCCGTGTGGTTGATATTGCTCGAGTTGGAGGAGCTCAAACTGTGCGTCCTGTGCTTCGACTTGCTGCGCATCGAGTCTCGGTGGCCGCCGCCGCTGCTCAGGTTCTGCCCTGAAGAGCCCGTCTGCTCCTTCTTGCTGGAGGGATGCAGCGAGTCAAAAACGCGCTTGCCACTGTGAAACTGCTGCGTGAAGAACTCTTCCAGCTTGGAGATGATCTTCGCAAAGTCCGGCGACGTCGACTTGGACATCAGCACCTGCATCTGGTCCCACTTTAGAAGGCCGTGCATGTAAATTGAGGCAGGACGTTTTGTGGGAAAAGGCGAGGTGGGTGGTGGCTGCTTTTGACCTCCTGCTCCTGCTGACATGTGCTCAAACTGACCGGTCATGACGCGCCACTCGTCGTGAAATGAGGCCTTCAGGTCGCTGATGCGCACCATGAGAATGGACGTGCCCATGTAGTCGATTCGATTTTCAATTGTATGCAGCGAAATGTTTATGAGGTGCTGCGGCTCACGGTCGCGGTCTTCGCGGACGTTAATCTCCGTGCGAATGTCACTCAGCTCGACGATGCCACCCACAATGCCGCCCTTTGCGTCCAGCGTTGAGTTCTTCAGGCCGATGCCGAAGCGGAACTTGCGATGGCCACTCGAGTCGATGGAAATTGAGCCGTCGCACATTAGGTTCCGGGTCAGCCAGTTGGCATTGCCCATGACGTTGCCCATGTTCATGGAGATGTTCAGATTGGAGAAGTTGACGGTGAGGAGGACCAGCGTTTCCCAGGGATTGTTGACAATGGCAATCATGTGCGACATCTTCTTCATCTTCCGCCTCTTGGCGCCCTTCGCCTGCGCCGCCTTCTTCTTCAGCTCAGCAGAGCTGTCCAGGCTGAACTCGAGGCTAGTCGTACTGCTGCTGCTGCTGTCGTTGAGGTAGTCGTCGGCCGAACTGTCCAGTGTCGCCCCCTTATTTGTCCTTCTTCTGCCCTTGGACTGCTGCGGCAGCTCAACGCCCTCATCGTCGTCGTCGCTGAAGATGGCATTGACAGTGGCATTCTCGCCGATAAAGATCTTCTTCCAGATGGACTTTCGGTACCAGGCCTTAGGGAAGGCTAGAATCTCATTCAGTCGCCGGACATCGTATTTGAAGGTAGCCGTGCCAATGTCGCAGATAGCAGAGAAGCTAATACTTTGCGTCAGCGACTCTCCCAAAATGACCTTTCGAGAGCGGGAGATGTTGATCTTTACAAACTCAACCTGTGAGCAAATGAGCATTTCAGTTAGCAACTCAAAACCAAACATCGAAACATACCTGTAAACTAAGCGAGTCCTTTCGATCTGATGTGGAGTAAGTGGAGGCACTTGGCTTGGACGGCCCTGACGACGACGACTTGTCCACCAGTGAGGCCTTGTTCTTCTGTCCACCGTACGGGTGAAAGATGTACAGTGAAAAGTCGGCCAAGCAGCCTGTGATGCTCAGTCCGCCACCTGTGGCCACACCAGAGCCTCCGCCGGCGTTCGAGTCGGAAGAAAGCTAACGAAAAAACAATATTAAAAACCGTCCCCCAAACAGTTTAGATAACTCACCGATTTGCTCATATTCCTAAACGACTTTGAGGACACCTGCATCTGCGGCGTAGAAGGCGAATCACTAGTGCTCGGCAGATCAGGCTCAAACTCTGACCGCTTGGAGGACATGACCAGGTCAATGGAGGGCAGGTGAAGGAGGCACTCCACCCGGGAGACGGGCAGGCAGCCCAGACGAATGATGGTCGGTTGAAAGTGAAAGAAGACCATCACATCGACGGGAAAGGAGGCGTAGTAGACGTACTGCCCCGGGGTGTCCAGTGTGCCGGAGCCGGTGTCAGAGGAGGCGGAGGCCATGTGCCGCTGTGCCTGCGCCGACTGAATGCTCGACAGTGTGGCGTTTTTCGACGTCGGCCCGGACATGTACGTCGGAATCGGCTTCAGTGCCTCCTCAAAGAAGTCCAAAATGTGCGGGCTGATGAAGATCTCATCAGGAATGGAGCTGAGGGTGATCCAGGCAAAGAGGAACGCCTTCTTGGTGGTCTTCTGCCGAGAAAGCGAGTTACTTCCAGAGCCTGACTCTTTGGGTGCCTTTCGTTCTGTAGAAGAGAAGAAAATAGTGTCAGATTGAAAGTTGAATTAACAATTCAGAGTAAAAATTACCTTGCGGAATGTTTGGATTCTTAAAGTGCGCCTGCTCTTTGCTGTCCTTATCCTCCTCACCGGCGTTGCTGATACTCTTCGAGGTGTAGTGCAGCTTAATGTCCAGCCCCGGAATGAGGAAAACGGTAAAGTCGGGGTTCATGCCAGCAGAGGGCATGTGATGCCGATATGAGTTGTTCCCGTAGCCGTAAAACTTGGACAGCTTATTCGATGACCTGCTCTTGATGATCGAAGTGGGCAGAAGGGTGCTGGCCTTGGTAGTAGCCTGCGCGTTACCAGCAGCAGCTGCATTGGAGCCGGACAGCGTCGGCGACACACTAGAGGCATTGGCGGTGTTCTGCATCCGTTCGGCAGCGGCAGCCATGTCCAGGGCGGACATGTTCCGCGCCGAGTTCATCATAGCTTCTGCATTCTTCGTCTGCTGGTCCTTTGTGTGCAGAACACACTTGCCGCTGTTGAAGAAGATCTTCACGTCCAGTTCAAAGTCAATCTTGGGCTCGAGGTTGCTGGGCAAGGCGGCTCCTCCTCCTCCTGCAGATGGTGGTGGTGGTGGCAGTGGATGCGCAGTGGTTGTCGTCACCGCCATTGGATGCAGCGGAGGTAGCCCAGTGACAATGGGCGCCGACACG